ATCCAGGCCCTTTGGAGGGATTGAATTCACTCACCTCCGGCTCGCTGTCTGGCGTCTAGTCCGTTGCCTATAGGTGCAGGCTTCGGAAATTTGATAGTACTGGCAACTCGTACAAGGATTTCCCCCGTCGCATTTCACTTTTCGGCGCGTGCATTCTGAACATGACTTGTTCACTTTGCGTGGTGGTTGGAGCCTTGGTGTCGCAGGTTCTCCCGGGTCTCGAATTTCAAACGTGTGGAACATGACGGAACACGCGATTCCATTCTGTGACAGTTGTCATGATCTTCGCTCATAACAGACGAGCATTGGGGCGATGCGGAGAAGACACCAATGTTTGAAGAGCGTAAACATTGGGGGGCAGTGGTTTTTCCGGGGGCCGATCTGCGGGGTTGATTTACAAGTGTGCCCCTGTGGTTTCAAGCAACCTACGACTTCAATCGATTCAATAACACATATTTATCTAGGACGTATGGAAGTCTCCTTTTTTACAATCGTACTCAAAACCAAGGGAATACCAAATTTCGGCATGATACATTTCAGAAGAACAACCTTGCTCCAGATATATATATACAGAGCACGTGAAATCATGCTTCACTCCTTCCAGCCACAATAATTCGCTTCCTGGCCTTCGCAGCTTTAACACTGGCCTTTCGCGGATTCTTTGCCTCAAATATGACGTCCAGCTCCTCGAGTGTGAATCCCTTGGTCTCGACAAAAAAGAAGTACATAAAAGTCATCTCAAAAGTATCCCAAAATGCAAAGAACACGTAGAACCAGTACCCAATCTAGAGAATAGATTAGCAGTGTAGATGACATGAGACGGGAATTTTGCTTACACTTGACAGCGCAATGGGTCCAACGAAGGTATTGAGAAACCCAGCGGCCCCGGCTGTCAACTTGAAGGTACCCATGCCCTTGGCTCGCATTTTGTTGCTTACGACTTCAGCGGGATAGATAGGTTGCATTGGGGTATAACCACAAGCAAATGTTGCACCGAAAAGGAAGATGAAGACAATACTGACGGTCGATGCGGTAGTGTTGCCATACTCAGTGTAGCCGGCGGAACAGGCTGCCACGATGGACAAACAAATTGCCATACCTGCTGTGCTGGTAATGAGCATCTTGCGACGTCCCACAACATCATGTAGACGGGAGCCGACAATGGAAGACACCCAACCAACGACTGCATACACGATATTGAGAATCAATTTCATGTCGGTGTCTGTGATGCCAATGCCACTGAGCATGATAGGTAGGTAATAGGATACGATGCTAGAGATAATGTCAGTTACCCAAATTGCTAGTACCTAGCACACCTGACGTACTTGTTTCCGCTGAATTGGCCAAACCAAGAGAAAGCAATGTTAAGCATGAGCCTATAACGGCTCGAACGAGACTCAACAAGCACCCGGAGATCGAATAAGTCTTTCCAGGTAGCTTGACGGTCGACATCAACGGTTGCAAGGATTTCTCCCATCTGGAGTGCAACGAGCGGGTGGTCAGTATCACCATTTGTGTGATAGGTAGCGATAATAGCTTTAGCCTCATCGTGGCGATCCTTGGACATGAGCCTTTAGCAAGGGTGAAGTTAGCATTGTCACAAGGTTTCAGCAAATAAGATAAACCTAATGAGCCAACAATGGAACATTCACTTACCATCGCGGGGACTCGGGGTAGAATTTGATAACTAGACACACAAGCCCTGGACACACTATCTGAAGCCAAAGGGGGATCCTCCAATCCAAGTTACCTTGGTCAGCAAGGTATTTGTGGCATGCATACACAGCCGATGTTGAAAACACAGAGCCCACATTATAAAATGTGTTATACATTCCTGCAATGGTTCCCCGATACGCTGGTGGAGCAAGTTCGACCAGATAAAGGGGAGCAGCAGTATGTGCACATGTTGCGAAGAAAGACAGAATAAATCTTCCTGCGATGAATGTTGGGAGATTTGACGCGAACGCTGTTACAATTGTGCCGATGCAGACACCCAGGCAGCCGAAGAAGATGTGCCAGGTTCGTCCATACCAGTCGGCCATCCAGATGAATAGCGCACCGCACATTTGACCGACCTAATAAATGAAATTAGTATAGCACGTAATCACTGAGCCGGTAATTCTTTTACCTGGAAGATAGCGAAGACAATGCCAGTACTGGCGTTGCCATTCTCTGGCAAGCCAAAGTAACGGATATAGTTCGGAAGCGCGTTGATAGATCCCATCAACGAACTGTCAAATCCTATATGATGTTAGACAGCCAAAACTCTAAACTTTATCTAGATAATTGGTCCAGGGGACTCACCGTTCATAGTTGAGCATAGGAACACAACGGCCGATAGGATATACAACTTGATATACCCTGGACCTCGGGGGTTCGGTTTGTGCGTCGCCATGATGGTCGCGTACGTTTCAATGACCTCCTCCATATTTTCTACCTCCTTCAGGCTAGGGTCTTCCTTTGTCTTGTTCATGATGGTGATAAGAGACCTCGCCCTGGATCAGGCCAAAATTGTGAAAAGTTTTCAAAAACAATTCTAGGAACAATATATGAGAAATGATCTCTAGTTGACACGGAGGCCCAAGGTAACCGCGATAATAATGCTCGAGATACTTTTTGCGAGAATGCAGGCTATCAATGGGCTTTTATAAACAGACCCATGCTTGGAACATGCATGTCTATTAGACTTTCATGCCATCCCCACGGGGAGTCATGGGGCCCCAGTTTTTCCTCAAAGACTAGGCCGAATTCGGCGCACGGAGATTCAAATCTTCGTTATTGCCCCGGAAATATAGGCCCCCACAAGACCAAGTCCAGACCCAGATGAGAAAAACGAGGTAGAACGTGTCCGGGGTTAGACAATTTGTGTGGTTGGAGTGGGGGCAACATTGATTATGGATTTAGATCCTGATATGGACAAAACATTGGTAGGTAAATGCGTTACGGTCTTCAGCAAACTTTCTTCACTTGTTGTACTATTGACTTTGCTGACTAGGATGTAGTACTGATTAATTATAGCATATAGTTCATATAACGAAGTCTGAAATGAAGCAATAGTTATCATTCAGTCTATAATTTGGCTAGTAAGCTATTTTCCACTGCGTTTAGCCCGGAAGGCCCGTCATAAAGCTGAGCATTCAAGAGAGAAGTGTTGACCTATTGATTTCACAATCAGCTTTTGGCATTTTTCAATGAGGATGCTGGAACTTACATGTTGTGGCCGAAGATTACTCACACTGCGGACACCGACCAGTCTCATAGCCGTCGCGGCTTCATCTGCGAGAACTATGATCAAATATCAGTACGATGAATATGATACTCAATAGATAGAAGAACACGAACTCTGTAGAGATCTCTGAACACCTTCCTCTCCACCCACGGCTAGGCCATAGAGTGCAGCTCGGCCAAGCCCAACGCCCTTGCACCCAAAGCCAGAGCCTTGACCACATCGGTTCCCCTTTTGATACCTCCATCAATAAGGACTTCTACCTGATCGAAGACTTGCGGACAGAATTTCCTGATTTCCAACAGAACTTGCATGGGGGTATTGGCCGTATCCAATGCTCTTCCACCGTGGTTGGAGATAACGATGCCCTTAACAGCTGGGAACATAGTTGCCGCGTATGCATCTTCATGCGTCTGGATACCCTTGAGGACAATTGGAAGGTCGGTATGAGCGGAGAGCCATGTCAAAGTTTTGCGCCATGTGAGAGCCGACTCCGTCCCCCAGGCTTGCGAAACCCCTCCTCCGGCAACTTCCTCCGCCTTGTAACGCTCATCAGCCTCACGTTTTCCCGGAAACGGAGCATCAAGTGTCAAGACAATGAATTTGATTTGTGGGATGGCCTTTATCTGAGCCAAGGTCCGTTCGGTGGCCTTGATATCCTTGAGAACATAAAGTTGCCAGGCAAACACCGCGTTCGGGCCTGCGCGCACGATATCTGTCACAGATACAGATGCATTCTTGCTTATTATCTGGAGGGCGTTAAATTTGGAACAAGCAGCAGCAATACCCATCTCACCTGATGGGTGTGCCAACTTCGCCATGGCTGCCGGGGAAATGAATATTGGCAGCCCGACTTTGTTTCCTAGGATAGTTGTAGACAGCGAGCATTCCGTGCAATCAACGAAAACCCTCGGTCGAAGGAGAACAGACTTGAAGATGGCTCCATTCGCGAGTTTTGTAATCTCGTCATCTGTGCCGGATGCGTAGTATGCAAGTGCTTTGCGGCTGAGACTCTTTAAAGCTAGTGTTTCCATCTCCGCGATACTCAAGATCGTACCCATTGGAAGAGCCGGAATATGCTCGGGCTGTCCGTCGTGCATGAGATCTTGGGATGCCGGCTCCAATTCACCCAATAATTGATCTGAAGTCAAATACTCATCAAGCATCTCAGCCGGATGGACATCTTGAAAAGCACGGGTCGCATCGGTACCAGCATGTTGGAGAAGGATTGCCTTCCCCCCGGGATGGCTGTTCAAGAAGCGGCTAACCTGGATTTGTGAGTCCAAGTTCCATTTATCAGGGGATGCATCGAGAGCTTACATCGTAGACATTACCGTGGATTGCGATCCAGCAATCACCTTCAATCCGATGAGTTTGTACTGATGTGGTCAGCAACCTGCCCAAGTGTACTTAGGCGAGACTTACTATCCGACAACGATAACGTAATTCCAGACATGATGGCTGTGTTATTTCCCATTACTATTGAGGGGAGACACTCCTTTCTATGTCATTTTCTCACTCTTTCGTGACATTGGGGAAGATTCGTGAATATCCGTCCGCTCTTCCCCACATTCCGTGCTCTCCGTGCTCTACGGGGTTTGAAATTCCCGTTCCATTTCTGGACTGCGGGAAAAAAACACATTGACATTGATTTACACCCGACAGCGCTGGAACACGTAATGGAACTTCCATTTTCAAGGGATCCGCATTTTGAAAGTGATCGAGGTTTCAAAATGCCGTATCTTTCTCAGTTCATCCCGACATTAGGGATAAAATGGCTGACCTGCTAACATGGTTCGCTGAATTCAGACTTCATCGCGCAAAGCTCACATTTATTGACATCATGCAAAAGTCCACGCGAGAGTTAAAGACCGGATGGTCTATGAAGCAGGCGGGTGACATTCCTAATGAGTGTTGGATTCCAGTGGAAAAGGTTCCTAGCCAAGTCCACATTGATCTCATTGCAAACAAAATGTAAGCACTGTTCACTGGGCAATACGTCAACGTTTTCTAATGCTAATGGACTTCTAGAATACCCGATCCATTCGTGGATGCGAATGAACTTGCGGTACAATGGATCGCTGAGAAGGACTGGGTTTACCGCACCAAGTTCACAGTCCCGTCTTCCGAAGGCACCAGAACGGACTTGGTATTCCTTGGCTTAGATACATTTGCTTCTGTGACTTTAAATGGAACAACAATCTTGGAGGCGGAGAACATGCATACTTCACATAGGGTGAATATCTCCAAGCTTGTTCGATCAAGCCAAGAAAATGAGCTCCAGATTGTGTTTCAATCCGCACTCCTCCGTGGGAGAGAGGTGTTCGATCAACACCCAGAGCACGTCTTTCACGTGCGCCAGACTGAAGCAAGTCGTATCCCTGTACGTAAAGCGCAGTACAACTGGGGCTGGGACTGGGGTCCTATCTTGATGACTGCGGGACCTTGGCGCCCGGTTGTACTTGAACAGTACACTGCCAGGATCGACGATGTATGGACACAATACGAAATATCTGCAGACAACAAAACTTGCTCTACAACTCTATACGCTCGAGTGGGGGCAGGTGCAGAGGAAGGAGACACGGTCCTTTTATCGCTGTTTAGCGCAGACGAAGCAGTCTTCGAGCAGAAATGCCACATTGGGGCTGATGGGTTGGTAAACGCCGCTGTGGAGCTTGTTTCACCCTCTCTGTGGTACCCTCACGGTTATGGATCGCAGTTCCGCTACAGACTGTCCGCTTGTCTTATCCGCGGGGATGCCAGACTAGATGAGAAGACCAAACTCGTCGGGTTCCGGCGGTGTCAACTAGTGCAGGAAAAAGACGAGTTCGGCAAGTCTTTCTACTTCCGCATTAACGGTGTTGATATCTTCGCTGGTGGGTCGTGTTGGATCCCTGCCGACAGTTATCTTGCCCAAGTATCCAAGGATCGTTATGTCGACTGGATGAAACTCATGGTGGAGTCCAATCAAATAATGATTCGCGTATGGGGCGGTGGAATATATGAGGACGATGCCTTCATGGACGCATGTGATACGTTGGGCATCTTGGTCTGGCATGACTTTGCCTTCGTCTGCGCCAGCTACCCAGTCTACTCCTCCTTCCTTCAATCCGTTGAGGAAGAAGTACGACAAAACATTAGGAGGCTGAGATCTCACCCATCTTTGGTAATCTGGGCGGGAAACAACGAGGACTATCAGGTCCAGGAGAGATATATGCTTGAGTATAATCAGGACGACACCGACCCAGAGTCATGGCGACAGTCGACCTTTCCAGCGAGGTATATATATGAGCATTTGCTGCCAAAATGGGTGCAGGAAGAGGACCCGTCCACCATCTATCACCCTGGAAGCCCTTGGGGCGATGGCAAACACACAACTGACCCAACCGTGGGCGATATTCATCAATGGAATAGTGAGTTCTCCCACAACAGTCCATTTTATGGTAACATTCTAACAAAATCTAGTCTGGCACGGCCAAATGAGCAGATATCAAGATTCTGCGGAGCTTGGCGGGCGTTTCGTGAGCGAGTTCGGAATGGAAGCCTACCCTCACCTCGAATCCCTTCGCCGAGTAATCACCGACCCACGGCAACAGCACCCTGGCTCGATGATGATGGACTTCAGAAATAAAGCTGGTGATCATGAGCGCCGCTTGATGACCTATATTTCCGAAAACTTCATTGTACCACCCAATCTCGCATCCTTCACCCACATCTCCCAGATCCTGCAAGCTGAAACGATGCGCTATGCATACAAAGCCTGGAGGCGGAGTTGGGGACAACCGGGGGTCGACAATGTGGTGGTGTGCTCGTATGGCAGCTGAACGATTGTTGGCCAACCATGTCTTGGGCAATTGTCGATTACTATTTGGTTAAGAAGCCTGCATTCTACGCCATATCTCGAGCTTTGAGGCCACTTGATGTGGGCATATCTCGTAGCTGCCCGGTGTGGACTTCCGGTCATGCCGATCCAATGTCTACCAACTCATGCGAGTTCGATCTGTGGATTGCGAGTAGCCGCCAAGAGGCAGTTGAAGTTCAGGTCAAAGTCAGATTTATTTCCATAAGGTCGGGTAAGCTGGTTAGTGAGACTATCGATATCACAACACTAGCAAGCCCCAATTCCACGACAGAGGTCCTTGAAAAGCAACGCGTCAATGTACCCGTGACTTGTGGGAGCGCGGACTACAAGAATCTGGATCCATTCATCATTCATGCAGAGTTATATATTGAGGGACTAGTTGAGGCAGCTGACACTGTTTGGCCGCAGCCCTTGAAGTATCTGAATTTTTCGAACCGGAATGTTAGGGTTGAAGCCTCGCTATCCCGAGGCGAGGTTACTGTTTCGGCGGACCTTCCAGTCAAAGGATTCGTGTTTGAGGAGAGAGAAGGCTTGAAGCTGAGCGACAATGGATTTGATCTTATACCCGGGGAGAAGAAAATTGTTACTGTGAGTGGAAAAGGTGCAGCGACCACAGAACTCCCATGGACATACGTTGGTGCAAAGCCACACCAGCTGGGAAGAAATCCTAAACTATGAGCCATGTCGCAAGTTCACATTGGATATTTATGGCCTGTTACATCTTTTTTTCATCCCTCATTCTCGTAACTATCACGTAATGTATATTGACTAAATTATCGAGTCAACGCAGGGTTTTCACCACGTGCCCATGCGTGACTTGTATAATCCATGTATTGACCAGAAACAGCTAATAATAACTACAGATGGAGGTAATACAGAGCTGACGCAGCCCTCGAGGGGGAGGATGACTAATGACATTTCAGATCCGAGCCGATCTTTCCCGGACCGTGGCCGGGCCTCTTCGGGGTTTTCCAAGGTTGCCATCTCCAGCATACAGATCGAACCACTAGTATGTACTGCAAGAGTCCACCAAAAGTTGACTACGCTAGATTTGGCATTCCCTCCGCATATTTACACTGATCTCGGGACCTCCAGGGCTCCATAGCTCGTACCGTCGATGAGTCATGATAAATTGCAGCAATCCATAATAAACCATCTTCTCCCAGAGCTGACAGGAAGGAAATCTCAAATTGTTTTTACAACCCATTTCAGCTCTGACCATGTCCTCAAAATGGTGGCTTCCGCGTCTTTCCTTCTTTCAATCACTCCGCCAGTCTCATTATACTCTTCCTGTGCGCCCGGAGTTTCTGGCTTCATCTTCCTTCCAGTTTGTTAATCCTCGCCATCATATAACAGCCACGGATAATATCACTCAGGTGTTTCCAGAGTCTGTGGTTGCGGGGCTAAGCGACGAGGAAGCACTAGCGTTATTCACTCGTGGGTTCTTTGGCGGCTTCGTCTTTGGGTTCGAGAGGTCTATCCTACGAATGGGAGGTTGGAATTTGCTGCCAGCACGGTATACAGGTGAGCAACTTTCTATAGAAAATCCTTCCATGCATCTTGAAACCCCTTCATAGATCTGGGAACAAAGGTGGTGTCGGCATAATGCTCCGAGGTTTCACCTGCTGAAATCGTCATTATAGGTTTCCAAGGAGATCCACATGCATCCCAGATCTGGAATCCTTCAAAGCTTCCTCAAAGTCACCTTCTCCCCGTTGGCAGCTCCCTTTTCGGGTCATTCAAAGTGATGGATAAGCAAATAGCACCGGAATCATCGGACCTGCGGGCCAGTTACGTGGATTATGGGTTTGGCTCGGACGAGTTCACCTTCGCAGGCTGCCACCGTTTCCAAATCACTCGATCACCGCGCATAGGCGCCGAACCCCTGGTGCAGTTCGAGCTACAGCATTTCCGTTGTAATCCTCAAAAAAACGAACCATCAGGGGCAGAATACATCGCATGGTTTCATTATGCTTATGCGAAGGCGCTGTTTGCGAATGCAGTCCAGTGCATTCTACTGCGGTAGCCCCCATCGCAAAAGACTTGACAGACATGAGTCGCTCGGTCTAGTGTTCTGTATATATATACCATCGCCCCTCCTGTAAAAAATAATATCTAGTGCTGAATTAATTTTTGTAAAATATATAGGGAAATATATCTGTAGATGAGTTCTTCAGACAGGATATTAGGTGCGGTTCGCTCATCACAATAACCAATCAAGTTAGCCAAGAATCAGACCATTGCGACAGGTTGGTCAAGAATATATCCACTCTATGCGTGCAATAAAGGCATACCTCGGGTTCCCCGTTGTGAGAGCTATGATGTTTGTTGATTCGTTGGCTCTTTCCCTGCGTATTAATAGTGTTTTGGCCTATAAATAAATATATACTAAGCTCCATAATCATCCTCATGCCTACTATAATATTGCCACCGGTAGATATACATATTGATCATTCAAAACGTGCATATTTATTTGATGGGGAGGCATGAGAATGTGTTGCAAATGTTTTAACGAGGAAGAAATCTTTGAATTCCTGGTTACTTCTGCCAGTTAACTAACAATCTGACCATACTAACTTTACACTACATTATTGTTGTATCACTGTGCGTACATAATTCCAGCAAGGGGGAATATATTCCTCGTCTCATTAGTTGCCTAAAAATATGTATAGCGGCCTTACTTCCTTATACACCGCTATGCATTTTCGATGTTACACATAGGAGGGTGCCTTGTTCGGCTGAACTTGCGGTGGGATAAAGCTGTTAGAGCGGAGGTGATATATCAAACTGTCACCCTGATGGGTGAATCTGAGGAAGCATTATCTCCTTGTTTCTTGCAAGTCATCCACTGGAAACAACTTTTCTGTTGACCTGTCTTCTGGTCTAAGTTCATTCCCCTCTGTCAACAACCTAAGTCATGGCTACTCTCGCTCTCGTTGGCAAGGTTGCTATGATAACCGGTGGCTCGAAGGGCATTGGGAAAGCCACAGCTCTTCGTCTTGCGCGTGATGGCGCCAAGGTGGTTATTCAGCACTTCCCCGACGACAAAGGCACCCAGGAGGTGGTGGACGAAATCGGAGAGCTGAGCGCCCTGGCCGTCGAGGGCAATGCGGGTAGCGTGGCTGACAGCGAAGAGCTGGTCCGTCGTACAGTGGAAAGGTTCGGCCGGATTGATATTGTCATTGCCAACGCCGGTTCCTTACCCATCCGAGACCTTGCGAGCACCTCGGAGCAAGACTTTAACGACTGTATCGATGTAAATGTAAAGGGGCCATACTTTTTGATTCAGGTAGGCGGCCACAAAGATGGAGAATGCAGAAAATATAGGAAATCTTGCTAATGGTCGGTGTAGAAAGCAGTCCCTCACCTCCAGCCGGGTGCCCGAGTCATCCTAGTTTCCTCCGCCCTTTGTCACGTCTCCACAGTTAGCCCTCCCTATCTTCTTTACTTGACCACAAAGGGTGCTATTGAGCAGATGATTCGCGTTCTGGCCAAGGACTTGGGCCCAAAGGAAATCACCGTCAACGCAATCGCTCCGGGTCCTACTGATACTGAGCTGGTCACACCCGGCAACTCGGAGCCTGCACTGAACGCTATCAAGGGTATGGTCCCCAATGGACCCTTGGGTACACCCGAGGAGATGGCGGAGACGATGGCATATTTCAGCTGCTCAGCGAGTTCCTGGGTCTCAGGACAGATTCTACGCGTGAATGGCGGCATGGCATAATTGGGCCTCCAAATAAAAGGCAGAGATAAGAGGATAGAGTTGTATTGTAAAGAAAGCGGTCTTCTGCTGAGCCGCTCGCCTGAATAAGCGGGTAATTATCCGATATCTATGCCTTTCGTTCATAACGCACCATTTCTCGGTTTCCAGAGCGATCTAAGACTCTTGATCAGAGGATTTGGTACTAACACGCCGACCAAGAAATATAGGGTGGAGGCATTGATCCTACTTGAACTGTTAAATTTACTTAAGATAATGGTGCTCTTCCCGGAAACGGTTATACCTATCACCGTAGTAATTAGTTATCCATATCGTACATATATGTAGTAGTTTGGTGCTGATATTTCGTATTTCGGTTTGTTCGCTGATTGAGGGGTAATTGAGATATCCTGGCTCTACTAGTCTCAGTAGTATTTCCTGCTCTAGACAATCTCCTTAGGTAGTGAAGTCTTTGCTCCCATGTCTTCATAACACTTTACACTTACTTTGTAGAAGTGTTATCAGTAATTCCGGTATGGGTGGAGGCAGTGTTCCTTGTAAATCGACTCCTGGTGAACTCGATTAAAATGTATGTTGCCTGATATATCAAGTTGTCAATCAAAGACTCCAAAGTATCACACTTATTCCTGGGAGGTTTCGTTTTTCTTTTCACAGCCGCTGGGGTCAGGGCGGCTCAGCCTTGTGACAGCTTTCGGGCGACGAGCGTTAGTCTCGCCCCAAAAAGCAAAGAAATCTCTTAATATCCAATTGCATCCAGCCACGTCGGGAGTAAGCCATCCCGAATTTAATTGGTGGATGCAGGTTGGGGTAGATGAATCATGTGTAAGGCTCTACTGAATTAATTCCAGTGTACGACATAACCACCAGTACGGACTCCAGTGAGCAGGCTCGAAGGATCATGGGAGACAGAGGTCAAGAGAGTGCAACGCTCGCCCATGAAGACTACACCGTCGGATGGGTGTGCGCTCTGCCCAAGGAGATCGTGGCAGCGAAAGCAATGCTTGATCAAGTGCATCCTCCCCTTCCACAGCCTCCGCATGATTCAAATAATTATACCCTCGGTCGTGTTGGAAGTCATAATGTCGTCATCGCCTGTTTGCCGCTTGGAGAGTTAGGGAATAACTCATCCGCATCTGTTGCCACACGGTTGAATTCTACATTCCCAGGTATTAAATTCGGGATCATGGTTGGGATTGGAGGCGGGGTTCCTCCTTCGGTCAGACTGGGCGATGTGGTGGTGAGCGCACCTAGCAACGAGTTTGGCGGGGTGGTACAGTGGGATTTCGGCAAGACTGAGCAAGGGACTGGGTTCAGACGGACAGGATCACTGAATAGTCCCCCGACTATTCTAAAGACTGCACTCTCGATGCTTCAAGCCAAGCATGAGATGGAAGGGTCGGTAGTTCCGAAGTTCCTTGAAGAAGTTGAACGAAAGTGGCCAATGTTAGTACCGAGATACACACGACGAGAGAACCTGGAAGATATGCTGTTTCCAGCAGATTTCCAGCATGTCATAATTCAAGATGCAGGGGAAGGGCAGAGCCACTGTTCAGGCTGTGATCGCAGCAAACTTCTGCAACGAAAACATCGTGATATGCGAATCCACTACGGTCTCATCGCCTCTGGCAATCAAGTGGTCAAGGACGGAATATTTCGGGATCAGATAAACTCCAGGTTTGGTGGAAATGTGCTGTGCTTCGAGATGGAAGCTGCTGGCTTGATGAATGAGTTTCGGTGTGTGGTGGTACGAGGAATTTGTGATTATGCCGATTCACATAAACCCAAACACTGGCAGGAGTATGCTGCCGCAGTAGCCGCAGCGACGGCTAAAGAGATACTCCTCATGGTCCCGAAATGGGACGTATTGACAATGGCTCCCATGGCAAGTAAGTGCAAGCGATCCTTGAGTCGGATATGGATAGCGAGCAAGATCACAAACCAAGTGTCCGTTCACCGAGTACCAGAAGTATACCTCAACTGACGAGAGATATATAATGTGATGAGTTTGGCGGAGAGCGGATGTTCCGTGTTCTAGTGCTAACTTGGGCCTTTTTCTTTTAGTACCGAACCATCGCAGAAACACAAATCTTGATACTGCTAGTTTAAAGGGCAAAGGCAAGGAAGACTTGATTTCTCTGCTTCCAGGACCGGAACTTACAGTGGGGACAATAGGTGCCTCACGGCGCATTGAACACCAAGAACCGTTACGAAAGATCTCAGATCTCGATGGGACGGCTGGCTATGACAGAGCCCTTGGCAAGGGCTTGATCATTAGTATCGATTTTGGAACAACGTGAGTGTACTATATAACTCACTCAGATATTACAACACTTACAGCCGGTGGGGGAGATAGATATTCAGGTGTTTCATGGGCAACAGTAGCCGACTTCAAGCACGAGAGTATTAATGTCATCACCAAATGGCCTGGGAGTGACAGCGAACGAGTCAAAGTGCCCACTAAGCTGTGTTATGAGTACTCAGAAATCCTATGGGGATTTCAGGTCCCGAGCGATGCGGATTCATTACAATACTTAAAGCTCCTTTTACTACAAGATGACGACATACAAGACGAACTCCGAGAGTCAATGGAGTTTGGTCGTACCAAGAGGACACTGCGCGAGAATGGGATCACGGCCGAGGATTGCATTGCAGATTATCTGCGCGCGATTTGGAAACATACCCTTGAGACTATTCGCCAAGCACGGCCTAAGTACGGGATTGATGCTCTAAAGTTTCATGCGGTCCTTACCGTGCCCATCACTTGGAAGGAATATGCCCGAAACGCCATGAAAAGGGCTGCCAGCAAGGCGGGGATACTCGATTACCGCATAGCCGGTCCGACCTCCCTGACCGTTGTCCCCGAGCCCGAGGCGGCCGGGCTGGCAGCATTAGTTGATCGTGGGTCCTACGTCGAAGCTGGTAATGTGTTCGTGGTTTGCGATGCCGGAGGTAGAACCGTGGTACGTAGCACCGATTTCGTGGGGTAGAAGGTGTTTTACAAGGTAACGCAAGCTAATCACCCTGGCGAAATTATAAGGACGTCGTCACCTATATAGTTGCAGAAAATGAGCCACTCCAATTACAAGAGGTAGTGAAGAGTGACGGTGAGCCAGTGATATCCCTTGCTCGCTTGGGTAGAGGGATTCCCAAACTAGCAAGATACTAACAGTGCGTAGGCGGTTTGTGTGGTGGCATCTTCATCGACGAAGCCTTCATATTACAATGCAAGAATCGCATTGGCCGCAACTGGTCCCACTACAGGGCGGCTGATATCGTGAATATCCTGACAAAGGAATGGGAGTACGGTATCAAGCCTCGGTATGCTGAAAGGAACGGCCCCGATAGCTATCCACTATTTATTATGCAGCCTCCGTTACCAGACCTCAAGATGAATGATGTATCCCGCAAGCCCCATATCAAGCACAAGTATATCTACTTTTCTGGGTAGGTCTCCTCACTCAACACACTAGTCGCTTCCGATTAACCAAAAGCGCAGATCAGACATTCGCAAAGCATTTCATGCCAGAGCTGTTCCTGGCCTCCTGAAGTTGGTGGACACTCAGCTTAGTAAGGCTCGCAACAAAGGACTCAATGTGACGGTAAGCCGAGGTTTCATGCTATCATGTCTAGAATGCTGATGCTACACTAAGGGGATCCTTCTTGCCGGAGGCCTGGGGTCCAGCCCCCATATACATGAGTGCCTCGAGGCCAAGTATTCCAATCGCGGAATTGACATTCATCAGTCGGCTGCCACCGGAGCGTAAGCATTCTTGTTATAATACATCTTTATGGACTATACTAACCCGACTTCTGGTCAAAAAGGGGCACTGCAGTCTGTCGTGGAGGTATACTTAAGGTTATCATGGATGCTTCAAGGTCTGCAATTGTCCAATAATTCCAGTGTGTTGCCGAGTGTTCCTCGAACGTCTGAGAATAGCAGGCAATTGGAAATCCGAGCCAAGAGTCTATCGCAAGAAGGATGGGCTTTTGTGTGCACACTATGGTCTTACAAGGTGCGGAATCAGATAGATTTGTGTATCACTAAGGTATGCGCTCTGAAATATACTTACATTAACCTGCATCCTCATCAGTCCCATTAGTTGGACGATGTTGCAAAAGGACCCCCTAACTAGCGCGACTACTAGAGGACTTATATCGAGGAATACTTACCGCCGTCCTCGTCTGGGTCGACAATTTATTACAAGGAAGGTGAAAGCCCGCGTACTTTATTGACCAATCGTGTGAGATTTCCTGTTTTAAATAAATCCTTCTACTCCGCAAGCTAATTCTGAAGGGCTAACCATCATTCTTAACCTTCAACCCCGTGCATATATTGTAGCTGCCGTCGAAGGATGGTGGGTCTTGGATCCCGCAAATATTAGACCAATCATCTTATAAATCAACAGGGGTAGCTAGTGGAAGTGAGTACATTGCGATGAGTAGAGAATTCGGTTTCATATTCAAAGACTTCTGCTACGTTAATACTATTTATTGTATCAATTTCTTAAACCTTTACACAATTAAGAAAGAAAAAAAAAGAAGTATTATCCTGAAAGTTCAGACTGTCAAACGAAGCGGACAGAACACAGATATATTGTCGAAGAGTATCGGATTAGATATGTGACACTGGAGTCCACGTTGAAGTCGACCCCGACAGCATTAAATGTGAAACGGGGATACAGTATTTTCCCAGTAGACCATAACAAAAACTAAGGTTCCCGTTTAAGGCCTAGAGGGGCCATATTTCTAGTTCGACATTAAACAACCATCACAATCTTGGCTAATGCCCCCTCTTCCTCCATCAACCGATGAGCCTCCACAATTTCCTCCAGCGGGAAGGTCTTGATCGGCAACTGCATCTTTCCCGCCGCCAGATCCCGAGCAATATCCTCAATGGGCGTTTTGAGTACAGCGTCCGTGGTGCTCGCATAGGTGGTCAGCTTAACGGACGTCGGTATCGACGACATAGGCATGAACTGGTCAAACGTCCATTTATTGCCAGCTATACCCGTCATGCAGACAGTGCCACCAGCTGCCACACATTGCAGAGAGTCCTCTAGTGTGGTTACCCCAACAAGTTCAAGGATTTTGCTGAACGGGGCACGTTTCTGGACCTCAGCCAATATCGACCCGCCGTCGATAATGACATCGTCAATACCGAGGCCACGTAGGAACTCTACACGTGCTGGGTTCCGCGTTGTCGCGGTGACAGAGACTCCATGTGATCGAGCAAGAGCCGCAGCCGCCAATCCCACGCTGGTAGTTCCGCCGCGAATAAGCAAGCGGTCGCTTGGGACGAGCTCAAGACTAGTGAACAAGGATCCCCAAGCCGTCTGCATGAGTTCGGGAAGAGCACCCAAGACGTCCCAAGGCACGGGCCGACCAGGGCCAAAGGCAGCGGTGGCATCGACGCGTCGCACTTGTGTAGCTGGCACTACTGTGTATTCGGCATATCCGCCATCAAAGGCACGGCCCATGCCGCCCATTGCAGTGACGACGACCTCGCCAGCTTCAAAGCCTGAGTCCGGGGGTGCATAGTCGACGAGTCCAGCTGCCTCGATACCCAGAACACGGGGAAATGTGACACCGGGTGAATGGCCTTGACGCGTGAATACTTCCGATCGGTTAAGCCCAAAGGACTTGACGCGTATGCGCACCTGTCCCGTTGTAGGAGTTGGTTTGGGGAGCGTCTGTAGCTTCAACACCCCAGGTCCACCTATCTCGTGCATCACAATAGCGCGCATCGTGTCAAAGGACATTGCTGCTGCAGCTGTAGAAGCGATAATCGTGTCAGCGAAAGAAGTGGGGGTAACCGTAGCCTGCGGACGTGGTGCGGGCAATGGTCAAAGGTACGGAACGAGTATAGCAATAGCAGTCCAAACAAAACAAACCACTAGTCAAGAATGCAAGATTTACAAGCAGAGATTATGGAGATGCAATTTTCAAGACACCAAACTCTGCTGGTATGGTAAGATGATGTAGGCAGCTCTCTCGTGTTATAAATGTAAGCAACATCCCCTAGCGCGATATACGTCGACGTTCGGAGTTGGCATTGACCCGGTGGGACTTTGTCATGCACCAATCACCACTCTCCGCTGTGAGTTTGGGGCGGACGATGCGGTTTAGTTTCCGGTGGGATGTTGCTATTCTGACTTCTGTCTAGCGTTCTAATCTATGTGTTCTGATTGGATATCTGATCCATTAAGCACTATGAATGGCGATCAGTGACTCTACGGTTGCTTTCTCAATTTGGAAAGTAAAAGGGGCACTTTTGTCCTCTAAAAAGACCAGGATAGCTTCGCGCCTTCGGTCTGGTTCGGGGTCCGTCCTTAAACCCGACCCCGTACGGGGATCTACTAGCGCACTGTGCTAACAAGACTGCTTCTGCAGCCAGGGACTCATGCCATATGGGTCTCAAATGTAGTTAAAATTTAAGATTAAGTGGCCATGAAGTGGCAATGAGGAGACAATGATAGACCTTTTTGCTTCTCTATCTTGATCTACATTGATGGCTCCATGAACGTTGACAGTATATCAGGATAGATGGGCAAATGATAAAGGGGGTGAGGGGTAATCAAAGTGGTAGAAAAGGTCATTCCATTATTAGTCGAGACTAGTACTGTAAATATAAACAATGAAAAGGCATAAAAAAGGTATTAATCGTGAAAGATAGGAAGATTAACTACATTAACAAGGTTGATTTTAGAAATTCAGCATCAGCATAGCACCGGCCACCACAGCGATCATCCCCAGGCCTTGTTCATTGTGCGTACCAGCCGAGTCTTTCGTCGTCCCAGACGTAGCGTTCGTCGTCCCAGACGTGCCGTTCTTTGCCTCAGACACAACACCACTCCTCGCCCCAGGCACACCATTCTTGCCCGATGTAATCTCGACAATATCATCCGGGTTGTGTTCCCACCAGTTATAGTTTGCCAATGAGATCTCATCGTTCTCAAGATCAAAAACTGTGTAAACGTTGCTCATGAAGTTGGAGCCCAAGACGATGCTTCCCTCATCTTGAAGGTGAACGTTCTCACAGATCGTGAAATAGCACGTTTCCTCATCAGACCACCACCCATCATTCGTCGCGGTATCACTCTCTTGGCTAACGAACTGGCTGAGGTAGAACTGGAGTTTCAGTTCCCCGAATCTGAACTCTATGGTCGAGTTTTCGCCCATTGCACTGCAGGAGAAGTTGACTTGACCGTACTCATCCGGAACGGAGGTGTTGCCAATTTGGGCATTTAGAGCCTGAGCCACGGACTTGGGCACGTAGCTCATAGTAACTGCAGTGTCAAAGACGGCATCTAGTGGGAACTTCGTAGACACCGCGGATGTTTCGTTGATTGAGATGCCATCCATATTGATACGGAGAGCTTTTGTGAGACCCGATCCGTTGACGATCGGGAAAGTGTACAGCGGGCCATAGTATCTGGCCTTGTTAACGCCACCGAACAGGGCTGTCTGGCCCCAAAGACTGAAAGCCGGAGAGTTAATGGTACCCGCGTCGGCCAATGCCTGGGTTAGGGAGATGGAAGATGAATTTCCGTATCCAAGACCCAAGGTATCTGAGAACGCCGATGTTAGTGATTAATTATACTGGGCAGGTTTGGATAGACGGACTAGCAACGATCATACGCTCCGTAACGATCCCCATCTTCATTGTGTCCACTTGGACACCACCGATTCTCAGAACGTCGGTCACGAAGTCCCCAGTTGTCATCACACCGGAATCATCGTATGCAAATTTCTCATTAAGCTTCTTGCCGGTGGTTGAAGCTGTCAGGTTGTAGGCTCCATATCCACCACAAGAAGAGTGGTCCACGTACATATCGCAATCGGAGCTATCCACGTTATCAAGCCAACAGCCATTACCCCAGGTGTTGAAGTATGCGAGGATATTCTGGGGCGGGGTGCCGAAAGTCACATTTGCGACGTAGGATACGTACTGGAAAGTAAGGTTAGTCTGCTTCTCATTTCAACTCAATTCTCAGCGATGGACGTACATTCACTACCTCATTCTTGAGACCGACGTCGACACTCTTCGATCGCTTGGAGAGCTGACGCGAAGTGTCGCGTACCATTGGTACGGTGAGAACAGCCGGAGTGTCTCTCTTCTCCACACTCAAAGTAGCATTGGTCAAGGCTACACCAGCCAAGCCGAGGAGGCAGGCCAACCCACTGCGCATGTTGAAAGACCGGAAATAGATAAGGGTCAGATGCAAGAGAGTAGAGTCAATATTTAAGGCGTAAAGGATAAAATGAGAATGAACGTTTGAGTCATCGCAAGCGCGAGGCTTAAAATTTGAGAGGGGAGTCCGCCGGCGCAGGTGCTAAATTGGTCTAGTAAGGGTTCTTAGCGGCAAAAAAGGTTTACCTGAGGCTAAACGAGGCGCCTCGTGCTCATTCACAGTACCATTCATGTTTCTGAACCTCAACAGGACCTGCATTTTACCTCAAAATCATGATAGGTAATGATCAACAAAGATCTAAGATCTTCCAGCACGACCAGTACTCCACCAAGAAAGGATCTGCCAAGCTTGTTTTGACCAGTCTGATCAGTCCTTCAATGGTCTTGGCAGGGACCGACGATAGTGGAGACGCTAGTCCAGAAGGGGCACAGGGACAATTTTCTCCGATGTTGTACTCTGTACACACCAACACGATAGAAAGGATTGATAGGAAAAGATCTCAGGTATGCTTTCTTTCCAAATTTGTTCCTCTTCAAATTTTCCTCAGCTTTGTTGCCTTGGCCACGATGCGAGGGTGGAAATGATAGACAAAGGGGATGGCTCGTTTCCAGTCCATGTCCAAATTAGGAAACTGGTCTTAGATGCTTATCTCGTGGATAGAATGTAAAGTGAAATATTTTGAAATCCAACCATGGGAAAATTGGCGTTGTAAGTTCCGTCTAAACGTTATCCTGCCGTTTGATAAGAAAATCTCGTGTCTGGTAGTTAGAGTGGTTTCAATTCATTGTTCCTCATCTGAGCAGGCAGATGCGAAACTTGCGGTCCAAGCCGAATTTTGTTTAGTAAAAAGACCATGTCTTTCCTCTTATATATTAGTAGAAAGTTCAGGCTGAAGACAACATGTCGGCAAACGTTCATGACGACCCTGAAAGAAACATCCCGAAATGATTCAAGTCTATTATCTAGTTCTTCTCAATAGTGATCTCGGTAGTTTTCCAAATATGACCGTCCTGCTCTCCGGGAGAGCCATTCCGATGTGACGATTCCCCCCATTCTGATGTTGACGGTACATTGTCGTCGATCGATCCACTTGATATATAAGGGCCTTTATTCCTTCCATCCATCTCAATGATACTCTCTTCGCTTTCACCGACAGGTTCCATATCATACATTCGGGTTAGTGCGCGAGATGTTCGACTTTCTGTCCCACCCCGGATCCGACTGGTAGAAGTCCCAGGCCCACTTAAATTATACTGCGGTGTGGTTTTCGTTCGGTTGCTTGTTGACTTTAGAAAGCTGAGGGTCGAGCGGGCTAAAGACCACACGAATGGGGCATTGGTTACCCAGACGCCGATTGAAGCTTCGCGTAGGTACCAGAATTGGTAACTTGTGTCGTAAATGTTGCGGAAGGTGAAGATTTTGGAGATGATCGCGCAGAGAATCTGGCATTGATTAGCACTCTAGCGCAGTGATCAGGGTTGAGAAATATAGACAAACTTACTACCACAATACCCATAGAGAATACCACCAAAACCGGAAGCTTAGTCCGCCATGGCATACGCGTTCGAAACAGCAGCGGCAGAACCACCAGCAAAATCGCAATATCCGAGCTGATGTTGAAGACAGCCTGGATAATCTCGAAGTGGAAGTATGTGGCACATTCCCGCTGAGGCGGCGGCAATGTCCAGTATCCGGATACCGGGTGGCAGTTCAAGAACAAGGTCAATTCGGTGGCCAGCCATCCAAGCGCCGTATAGACGGCGGATACCTTGACCCATCGATGTTCCTTGAGGTTTGATCTATAGTGTATCAGTTTGGGGGTGTATGGATTGTTTGGTTCTAACTCACGTAATTCGAAAATATACCAATAGCATGCAGGCCTTCAGACAATAGATGGTGCACACTTGGCACTAAAGAAAGTGAGTTAGAAATGGGTCCTTCGCGGCCTCTAGGGGACAACTTACATGCTCCGAGGCAAATTCAATCTTCGAGCCCAAGACCCGTTGTTCGATGTCATGAGCAGTGAATGTCTCAAATTGACCCGGTTCATACAAGGTACTCCCATAATTGGTGATTTCGATATTCGTGACTACAAACGCAGTGTAGAAGATCTGCGTGGGATAGTTAGCTTCATACGATTGCGAGGGGTAAACTTGGAGATCGTCGATCCGTACGATTGCCAAAAACATCAAATAATCCTCAACTTGGAGGTGGAACTTCAGACGCTTGTACCGAGCATAACTGCAATCGAATCAGTGGTAAATCCAGCTACCGAGTCCGAAGAATGCACCGACAGTCGCACGATGAAGAATAATATCCCCACACCGTACATAATCCATGACTCAACAATCAAGTCATGTACCGAACCACCACCCTGGCTTGACATGGTTGTGTATATGGGGTAGCGACCCCCCCCTGACCGAGCTACATGGGAATCTTAAAACGTGAACAGTGGTGAATAAACTAAACGACGCCATGTAGCAGGTTTTTTTTTTTTTTAGTCCTGTACTTTTGTATGCATTGTCTGGTGATTGCGACCCACCGAATAACACCGGCATTTGCCTCGTGCTTACCGGGGGCCATCAGAAATCCAAGCCGCCAATGGGGAGGATTGGGGGGGGTGACGCGACCAATGAGCAGGTTTCGATATCGCATTCTATTTACATTCGCGGATGGTGTTCCGAAGTTTAGTGGTTTAATGTTCACCTGGGCAGCAGCATTCCAGGCTAGGTCTTTCAGCTCAGGCCTCCAACTTGAGTAATTAGTTGGAGCCGGTCTCTCATGCAGATTGCCCAGGTGGTTTTGCGCGTCTCTGATGAAGCTTCAGAGTGGGGAAGAGAGTTGTTTGTTAGGTGGGGCGACGAATGAAATCTACGGCATTCCTTTCGAAGGTTCCGGCCGAATATTGTCAACCTTGGATGAGACATACACAATGTTGTACAAAGTACATTAAATGTGGGGTGTTAAAATTGCATTCCAGAGGGGTAGAAAGCGTAAATTAACTGTGGACCCCAAGTCTGGCCATTTGTGAACTAAAGCACAGGCTTGGAAGCCTAGTGGCGCTGCTAAGCATGAGTGTGGTGGGGGCCAAGCCACGGGTCTAGCCGGAAGTACTCCGTACTCCGTATGTTGTACCTCCATAGGTAAGACAGTCACTAATTATTATTGTGCACACATCATACCACCTCCTCTCTACTCCATACAGAACTACTGAATTCCTACTCCGTACACTATACTTTGTACGGGTTGCGACCACTAGTGCAGTGGAAATAGGATAAAAAGAGCGGTAAGGGATGTACTCGGCAAATGCTGAAGGAATAATGCCATTATACAAACCATAACACCACTCCCACTATCCACCCAATCTCCGGCTCTCGTTACATCCGGCTGGTAGCATCGCTTATTCCGTTTCCCTTGGCGCCGACAGGGATCACGTCCTGCCAAAACTCTCTTTCTGCGCTTCTAAAGGCGCTATCAAAGTTTTCCCAATCCTATATCCGACCCCCCTGGTCGCGTCCCCCCAAGCTTTTGGTCTGCGTACTCACTTCTGCTCTCATCAAAGCACCATGGAGCAACCTATGGGAGACGAAGAGAAGAATTCTCAGCTTTCGACGCCAGTTAAATCCGAGCCAAGCTCAACATTCCACCCGCCGAAAAATGCATTCGAGCGTTTCAATGCCCGCCTGGGTCGCCTGAATTTCTTCGAGACGCGCGGTATCGAGCGTGTGCCGCTCGAGGAGCGTAAACCTAAGGTTACCTCGGCGGACTATATGGAAATGGCCCTGATGTGGTTCAGTGTTAACATCACGGCGAACAACATCGCCGTCGGTATGCTTGGTCCGTCGAGCTACGGGTTGGGCTTTGTCGACTCCGCCCTTTGTGCCACTTTCGGCGCTCTGTTGGGTGCTGCTGGTGTTGCATACATGGGCACGTTTGGCCCTGCCAGTGGAAACAGAACGATGGTATGATTTTGATGAAATTGCGCACGTGCCGACTAGTATACTGATGGACTAATGCATATCAGGTCGTGGCTCGGTATTTTATGGGTTACTACCCCAGCAAAATATGCGCGCTGTTGAATATCGTTATCATGCTGGGATACGGTATGGTCGATAGTATTGTCGGTGGACAAGTGCTCTCCGCCGTCGCGGGAAACAACATGACCGTGTCTGTAGGCGTGGTTATCGTCGTGGTCGTCACCTGGGTCGTTGTTTTGTTCGGCATGAAGATATTCTATATATATGAACGGTATGCATTTCCCCTCCACCATTTCCTGATCTAGCCCGAACCGAAATACTAACCGAAGCCGTTGGTAGATGGGCCTGGGTCCCTCAGCTTATTGCTGCGTTTGTCCTTGTTGGTAGCGCTGGCCCCAAGTTCGATACTTCAATCGTATCTACGGGTTCGGCGCAAACAATTGCCGGCAATCGCCTCTCCTTCTTCTCACTCTGCCTCTCCTCGTCCGTTGCCTGGGCTCCGGCCGGTGCAGACTTCTATGTCTACTTCCCCGCCAACACGAAGAAGTGGAAAACCTTCCTCATGACCTTCCTCGGTGTTGGTCTGGCCTTGACCTTTGCCAACCTAATTGGTGTAGGCCTCGGCTCGGGCGTGGCGACTCATGCTGATTGGGAAGCTGCCGACGCCATCTCCTCTGGTTCTCTGATCCTTGCCGGCTACAACGGACTCGGCGGCTTCGGCAAGTTCCTAGGCGTCATAGTTGCGCTGGGTCAGATCGCGAACAATGTCGCGGGAACTTACTCTGCATCCTTAGGTTTCCAGATGCTAGGTCGCTACCCGGCCAAGGTTCCCCGGTGGGTGTGGACCTGCGTCGGTGTCATCATCTACCTTGTCTGCGCGTTGGCAGGTCGGAATAGTCTATCCGAGATTTTCGAGAATTGGCTGGCTCTGATGGGTTACTGGGTTTGCATCTACCTTGTAATTGCTCTGGAGGAGCACTTTATCTTCCGTCTATCGAGAGGCTTTGATTGGGCGGATTG